TATCCTGTTCATTTTGTGTTTAAATGCTAAAAGAAAAAGAAAAAGAAAAACATATTTAGGTATAATTTGGGGGGCCAGGAACCAATTAATTGGTTTTCCATTATTTCTTATGGGAAAAATTCGATCAGAACTTGAACTTTTTAGGATTCGATCCGGAGTCCGGAACGGATTAAGTTTGAGAACTGAGGTACCACTGTATATGCAAAGGAAGAGTAAAATTGCTTGACACTAATGAGCCCTGAAACTTATTTTTGCGATGAATACAAAACACCATCCTGTAAACAAGTGAATATGCCTTAGCAACAGACATCTGTAGTATTAGTAAAATGTTAATATGAGTAACATGTACTGGAAATTTACACTGACACAGCCATTCCCTTATTTATAACTTTTAAAAATCTTAATTTTATTTTATTTCATCTAATCCTCCAGTGCTGACAGACTTGTTTTCCTGTTAGTAATGTAACATTTCACTGTAATGTTAACCCTGTGTTAACATACATATGACAAATAAATTGAAACTTGAACTTGAAACTGACACAATCAGCTGCATAATCGGAGTCAACTGTCTGCTACTCGGGGCCCGGAAGGTGTGAACGCGTAGCCCAAATAAAACTTAACAGAAATCGGATTCATTTTAATGTCGCCACCCCTTGCTCCACGTTGCCACATTATTTTCTTTGTAGAAGTAGCTCACACTGTAAAAAACGTTGGATATCCCTGCAGTGTTACAGCACAGGCTTATTATTCCAAACCACATCATACCGACTGTCAGTGAAACGCACACATCCACACCATTAATCGTAAAAGAGTTACCAGTTAGGGAATTCTCCTGGTCCAGTAGGTTTATCCGTCTTTGGGTAAATGTCGAATTGCACGGAATAAATAAATCATAGACTGAGTCTGGAGTCGTGTAGAATAAACGCATTATGGACAGAGCCTGGAAATATGACACCGAAACTCAAGATTCGGCCATATGAATTTAGAGTTGCCACTTAGAATCTTCAAGGGTTGCCAACTTTAACGCTTTACTGTACTTACAGCAAATCTATTTCATTCCATTATAAACATAAAATTAGCTACATCAAAAGTCTTGGGGTAGTTTGCAAATCCTACAAACTATTGCCAGCTGTGGACTTTCACCAGGCCCACAAGGGTGATATTTCACATACCGACTTCCCCAAACATTACTTAATTTAATCATTACATTTTGAAAGATATTTGTTAATGAGCGGCTAAAAAATGAAATGTTCTTATTTCTAAGTTCTGCCAACTGGATTCATAGATTACATAGAAGTTCATATATCTCTATCCGAGTTAAAACCATCTAATCTATCTCAATACTGTTTGGTCGTAATGACACATAACACATCTTTCTGTTGCATTGTCCCATGTAAACAACTTTTCGGACTACATCACATGGTTTAGCAGCTATTTGTTTTTCTGTTTGTACAACAACTTTTATATGAGGCAGTGACACAGAAGCAAACCTGGCTGCCTCGGTATGAAAGAGTTGAATTTGAAACAGTGGATTATTTGCTTTGTTTTTGGTGATGTTAACAATCGATTTAATCACCCCAATACAGCCATTTCTTAGCTCAACAGTGTAACTGTTATGCATGTGCCCTTTTCCATAATTTTCAGTTGCGAAAACCTTCCCTCTAATAATTGCTCTCTCATAGACTTCAGCCATGGCAATCAGGTAAATCACACAATGGGAACAGAATGTTTTTTTCAGTTTGTTCAAGTATTTTCTGGTGGTGACAACCTAGGAAAACAATATCATCAATTTGTTTTGCTTTTGTGACAAGAGGGTAGCCACTTACCCAGTCATTAACTAGCTTGTTAACTCTATGTGTGATATCAGAACTAGATGTAGTTTGATATAGTTGAAGATATGCAGGTATGGACTGGAGAGTGATGAACTGATGTGCAATTTGCATTGGTATATAGTTAGTACCATGGCACATTTTTTTCAGTGTCTGATTGTGTCCTTCAAAACAAAATGTAGATGTGGACCACAGTGGCCCATGCATTCTGACAGATGAGGGCAAATGGGCTAGTTGGTGAACATTGAAGGACATGTGGCACAAGCCATACATTGCTGGCATCTTTTGCACAAATGTTTTGATTTTGAACGTTGCCTCTGCTAAATCACCTTCACAAATGTCACAAGCCCATCCTCAGTCACCCTCTCGCCACACTCTACAAGATGATCATGGGTTCTTGGCTCAGCTTCAACAACTGGATAGACCCTTGTGAACCCTTTTCCCTTTGCCACAGTTTTTCCCTCATTCAGGCATTGGCCACAGCCATATGCACCATTGAACTGATGTATCCCTTGAAGTATGCATCGAGCTACAGCATCACATGAGCAAAGTATAGGAAAGACTTTTGATACCCTCTCTGTGTTAGTTTTTGGGTCTCTCCATTTCACCCCTTGTGTGTTTACTGTTTCAGTATCATCCACAAACTGCTTAAGGTAGAAAGACATGTCAGGTTTTCCTTTTCCAAACCAAAGACATCTATTTGGCCACAGAGAATAGGAAGAGGAGTTGAACACTTTGAGCCCATCACAGTTCCATAGAAGGGATATATCATCTTTTTCAAAAGGGAGAGTTTTATACATCTCTGCTCTGCACACATCACTCAACCTGAGCTCCTTTTGAACAGTAGCAGATTCTCTCTCTAGCATGTCTCTAATTTGATTTGACAAAGACAAACTAATAAAAAAGTTTCCTCTCTTCAAATGATCATTTTCATCTACTTCTGCACAGCATGCAGTCAGGGCACTCTTGGCTCCTACCTGGCAGATAGGCATTGCAGTCTTTACAAAATAAGTGCATGCTGACTGAATCTGATGGCGCTTTGAATATTTTCTTAAAAAGGTGAAGAGACTGTGGCAAAAGGCTGTCACATGGTAATAGAATATTTAAAAGCTTAAGGAGGTCCTCCATGGCACATGCCGCTATGTTATGTCTTACAGAATATGACAGGAGAAGTACTACAGACTGGGCAAGAGTTATATCTGACCTTAGGAAAAGGAGTGCCCCAAAATTTTCAAATTCTGTAAAACATGCACTACAGTCTTTATCAGGGTCAATGTCATGGCCACAGTGGTCACGAGTATCCTCACAAATACACTGATCCCCACATCTGTCTATATCCACAACATTCATTCCATCACCAGTTTCTTCATCATTATAGCTTGTGGACATCTGACTATAGGAAGTGGGCAGGATGAATGAAGATCAAGGAATCTGCCAACAATGAAGTAGGGCCATTGTAAAAAAAAAAACCTGTTTGCTTTGATACATTTAAAAGATACACATTACAAAAATGATATGTATGTTACGGAAGGCAGCGAAGCCGTGAAGTCAGGAATAGGGGTTTATTGGCACGGACAGGGCAGACAGCGACAAACATCAATGTCTGATCTGGGGAAAACTAAAGATGGCAATTTCGGCACCCAGGATCGATCCATTCCAAACACGTCAGAAACGTACGAAAAGTTTCGAAACATCAGTCACGTGACCGCTGTGTCATTAACATTATTTGTCTCGAATGTTTCAAAATTGTTTTGATGATTCGAAATTGCCATCTCTAGGGAAAACCAACTCAGACGCGGACTAAATACACAAGACAAGCAGAAAATAACAGGCAACAGGTGATCACAATCGGGGTAACACGCGTAGGTAATGAGGGGGCTTGGCACACACGAGGATCGTACGAGCAGGTTATGACAATGTAGTTTAAGGATCATGAAAGAAATTTTGTAATAGGTCACTTGAAGGACAATTTACCTTTTATAAGAACCTTTCAAGACTTTGGACCTAACAGTTTCTATATTCATGTTTATGTCCTCCCTGGAAACTCAAAAAGATATAATCAATGAATATAATTAATCAGCCGAGGATCTGACCGCCAAGGTCCCTGCCTTTGGCCACTGCCCAGCTCACAACGCACCCGACCCCTATGGCCCCTCCTATGGGTGGTGAGCCCATTGGAAGGGGGACCCACGTGCCTTGTTC